CCTCTTCCCCCCTTGACCTCCCGCTCCCACCCACTCACTCGCTATACCGCCGCCACCCCACCTCCTACACCAAAACAACCACCACCACCACGACCAACCACCTTCTCTGCTTGACCGCTTTTGGGGAGGCCCAGTCCCAGAAGTCGCTGCTGCTTCCACGCCCACGTGGCCTTTTGCAAATGAGTGTGGGTGTGTGCTCGCTTTCGCTCACATTGAGAGAGAGAGAGAGAGAGAGAGAGAGAGAGAGAGAGAGAGAGAGAGAGAGAGAGAGATGTGGAAGCGTATGGCTGTGGCTGTTCTCTGCTGCTGGTGCTGTGCGGTCTCCCTTGAGCGGGGCATCGCATAGGGAATATGAAAGTATTACTTTGAAGAGTGTGGAGCAGCAGAGCGGGGAAAAATATGTTTGTTTTTTGTTATATTTAATATTTTGAGCGGCTCCGGCGGATGAGGGAACGAGGCCCCGAGCGCCATCTCCATTAGCCTCTCGTGTGCCCTTCGAAACACTATCCTCAGCCTCCACAACCCCTCCCCCTCTCTCTCTCTTCCTCCCCGCTCTCTGTGTCGGTCCACACACGACTCATCTCGCTCCGCTCGCCAACTTCCCCCCTGCTAGCGGATATCCCTCAAGTTCGTAACCAGTGATATCCCCGCCCCCTCTCTGCTCCTCCTCCCCCTCCTCCGCCCCCGCTCGCCCTTTGGAAGCGCTCTATATCGATGGGCTTAGTTCCAGGGGGAACCTTGAAGAGCCCGCTGTGAGAGGCAATGTTGTGCGACAGAGGGGAGGAGAGAGAGGTCTGGAAGAGAAAGGGACGCAGCGAGAGAGAGAGAGAGAGAGAGAGAGAGCTAACGAGTGATTGCGGTGGATCTGAAAGAAACGGGTGAGAAGAAAATATGGGGGACTTGCAGTAAGGGGGTTTTCGCATTAACTCTTTTATAATATGCGGCCGGGCATCTGCTGCTGCTGCTACCCGCTGCTGGGGTCGGGTGGCATTCCTGGAAAGTATATGGTGCTTGTTCGCGCTCCACGCTCCTGAGGTCGCCGCTCGCCGCCACCGGCCGGGAGAGCGCCTGGCAGATAGGCCGGCACTGCGCGCTCGTGACTCTCGGCGGCCTACCTCCCAGGCGCTCCCAAGGCCAAGGGCTCCGCTGGAGGGCGCCTGGTAGGTAGGCCGGCTGAGCGCTCGCGAGTGTTGCGGCGGCCTACACCACAGGCGCTCTGGAGCTTGCGACGGAGTGGCACGGCTGCTCGGCGGCGGTACCTACCGGTGCTCAATGCGACAGAGTTGCGGAGCCCGCGCCGATCGACCTTGGAAGGGATGTAGTACGAAAGAGAGAGAAGGAGGGAGAGAAAGAGAGAGAGACAGAGAGAGAGAGAGAGAGAGAGAGAGAGAGAGAGAGAGAGAGAGAGAGAGAGAGAGAGAGAGAGAGAGACGCTGTCGGCCAAAGTAGTAAAGCAGCAGCCTTGAAGGTCCTGCTCGGTAGATCGGCCGCTACTTCTGCTGGGTTTCCCCCGAGCGTAGTATAGAGCGACGTATTTATCAAAGTTAAGAACCTGCTGGTGCTGCTACCACTGCTGCCACCGCCACACTGCTGGATGGGGTTTCAGTCGCTCGCTGCGTGCCTTCCGGCTGGGACTGCGGTGTAGGAACGCGTTTATTCTGGAAATTGCGTCACTCCTTGCTCACCCTCCGGGGCCGGTCTATTTATTTCTCTACTCTCTCTTTTCTCTTCCCTCCCTTCCTCCTGCCCCGCCCCCTTACCCTTAGGCTGGGGGCTCATCATTGGGGACCCCTCCCCCGACCCTCAGGGCCGAATCCGAAATTGATAAATCATGTTGTGGTGGAAGGGAGGGGCGACGCGACGGTCCTGGGATGGGCCCGGGACCAGCCGCTTCTAGGAGAATTCGATTAGGCCGACCCGCTACCAGGACCTCATCAGGCAGCGACGCCACCAGTGGCGCACCAGCCGCCGGAATATATCGATTCAATTTTTTTTTAAATGCATATAAAATAATTTCCGATGTCAACAAATGTTAACTTTGCAGCAGAGCGGCGGCATAGCGTGCGAAAGTGTAGCCGCGTCACACACGGCACGACCCTCTGTTTTAGTCGTTGCGGTGTACGGCACAAAATGTCACAGAGGGGTGGCCGAAATGTGGCTAGTTTTGTATTGAATGGGCCACGATCGCGTACGTATATAACCCCCGCCCCTCTCACACATTCGCACTGGACGCTCACACGCACACACACGCACGCACGCCAGATATGGTATATTGGATATTGAAAAGGTCGTGCCACGACCGGGGTCTCCATTGTGTCCACGTGGCCGTGCTGACGTTGACGGGTGCCAACGACTGCGCCATAAACGCGCCAGACTCTTCGTCGCGCGTCTTTTCCTCCTGCCCTCTTTGTGTCTCGCCATCCTCTACATTACCTCCGAATTTCCATCATTTCTTTTCCTAGGAAAAAAGCATAGAATTATAGTCTGCCATCACTGCTAGCGACCGTAGACGATCCTGATTTGAGTCAAAGGTGCATGCATCCGTTGGAAGACAGACGGACAGATAGGGAAGAGATGTGTGTGTGTGAGAGAGAAAGAAAGTGGAAGAGAGGGAGAGAGAGAGAGAGTGATAGGGGTGGAAAATATGACAAAGGGGTAGCGGCTATCCCCAGCTATCGCCTCTCTCCCACAAATGCTCGGTTCGCCTCTGACCCACTGTCACCACCCCTTCTCCCCACCGTGCCACGCCCCCATTCTATCGACAGGATGTCTATCATGTCCGTCTCTATCCCAGCCCAGTAGGCCGTGACGCGGCGGCAGCGGCGGCGCCCCCCTGGGCCTGTTCTGGAGGACTCCCAAGTTCTGAATCATAGACATACAATTGGCGATTGTTATCCGTGATGGAACGAATGGAATAGCAGGTTTTTTTTTTCGTGCCCCGTCTCCAAAATGTGTTCTATCTTGGTGAACTATATCTGCAGCAGCTACAATCTGTATACTCAGTTTCAATTTGTGTGTTCCTGCATAGGAAAAAAGTTTGAAAACGTAGAAAAAGTAAGTTGAATATGGTTTCAAACCTCCATAAAAATAAGTTCTTGTTCGTTAGGTCGTTGTTGTTTTTTTGCGATCGCGTTGGTCTACTAGGCTCATTGTCGAAGACATTGGGGAAATGATTGCACAACCTCAACTTGAAATCACCAGGAGGCGCTTGTCTGAAAACAGCAATACGCCTCGACTCGCTGCCAATAATCACGTTTCCCCTCGTCTCTTTTTGTCAAAACGCCGGATTATTTGCTAAACGTCATGTCCTCTCGATTGTCTCCAGATAAGATCCGGAAGCGGTATGGCCCCGCGGTGTCGCTGGCGGGGTCGGGCGGCTCGGTGGAGCTGGCGGTGCTGGAGCGCGGGCCCTCCGGCCTGGGGCTCTCGCTGGCCGGCCACAAGGACCGCGCGCGCATGGCCGTGCTCGTGTGCGGCCTCAACCCCAACGGCACCGCCTACAAGAACGGCGACATCAAGGTCGGCGACGAGATTCTCGAGGTGGGTCATTCAAGTAATAAGTAGCAGACTTTATATACCAGCGCGGATAAGGCTAAAAAAAAATATTACGTTTACGGCGCGTATATACGGTCTCGGCAAGTGTGTCTGACAATGTAGTCGGGGCTACTATATTTTTTTCGCAGTGCCCTGTGGCTCGCCGGCTCGCCCCCCGGCCAGCCACCCGGTCGGGGTTGATGTATGTGGTGTAATACGCACTTAGGCCCCTGGGACCGGCCCGGTCATCACCGCCACCTGACACCCCCACCCGCCCCCACCTCTCCTGCCAC